TTTATTTTACGTTATATGATTTTATTTCATTTTAATTTACTCTAAATCCAATCTTAAATATTGAAATATTAAATTATTAAATATTATATCATTCCTAAATAGGGCTCAAATAATTTTCCTATTAATTATTAGTACATTATAAATTTACTCTATTTCGAATAAGGGAGAAATAATTAACCCTAGTAGTACCAGCGGGGTTCATTTCTGACCCCATCTCAAAAAGTTAAAAGTATATTAGAAATAATTTTTTTTCCTAATTTTTAGGAGCAGCCAGCATCTATCTTTAATAGATACATGCTGTTGAATCTGAAAAAACATATATTTGTTTTCCATATCCTTATAACCTGTTAACGTAGGCCTATCTCTTCAGAATATTATAAGTATAGGGAAAAAAAGAAGAAAAATTAGAACTTGTGATATATAATCCAATGACTCATATAAGAATCCAACTTGAATATAAATGTTCGAACAATTAAAAACATCTTTTGAGTGGTTTAAAGCTATTCAGTAACGATAGTGGATGATCTATATTATTGTAGATCAAATGTATCGATGGTATTACTTGTCTTTTTTATTTTATATTTTTTGAGTAATGAAACTACTTGTATGACTTGTTCTAAATAAAGCAAATCATATTCATTTTTCTATGACGTCCAATAATAAAATAGCATATTACATTGAGAAACTCATCGAAAAAAGAAAAAAATGGTTTAAAAAAACAAATCTTGTCAATATAGTGCTTAAAACAGGCCGGTACTATTAGGGTTAAATAACATTCTTAATTCGTAATGTTCCATAAGCTTAGCGCCCGTTGGGGCTAACTATCGATCGAATAATATTTTTTTCACTCGTACCTGCTCTGTGCAAGATGAACCAGGTCTTGCAATATATAACCACTTCTGATCGAACTTTTCCAAAAAGTTCCCGTTTGAATTTCTTTTAGCCTTTTACACCCTCACATACAAACTTATGGAACAGTCTTTATTACTAAATGGATATATAAAAATAAACTTGATGTTTACTAGTTCATTCAGATCGACGAACGACACGAACCCAAATACCATTTGTACTATTTAAATTTACGAATTTACCCAGTTGAAGTGGAACCTGAATAAAAAAAAAGATCAAAAAACGAGCAAATGACTATCGCTTACTTCTGTTTTTTCGCATTTCTGTATTTCAATCAAACGCAATGCTTTAGCAATTCCAAGTTTAGCTTCTAATAATGCAAATCGCATGCCAATACAGTTTCTACAACCGTAAATAGATCAATATATTCTATTTATGTGAACATTTAAGATTAGTTCATACCGAGGTCCAGCACCAAAAGCCAAATAAGTCATTGGATGTCGTTTCGCTTTCTCTGTTGATGTAAATCTATCAAAAAGTTCATAGATAAATTCTATGACAAAAAATAATTTAAATCTCTACCTTTCAGGAATGAACTTGTCTGGATCAGGCCAAACTTTAGAATCATGATGAATAGGATACACTGGTATATGAATAATTGATCCTTTTGGTATATGATAGTTACCAAGCTGATAATCTTCCGAAGCAACACGATCAAATCTATCATCGCAATACTATTATTCAAACAGAGAAAAGATCAATAAAACTAACCTGATAAATGGTGGATACATACGAAGTGTTTCGCTAATAACCATATCCAAATATCGAAGTTGATGAAGATTTTCATGAGTAATTTTATTCTTAAATATATATACATATCAATTCATAATCAGTATATTTCTATCAAAATAATTTACATCACCAATTTCATTTCGAATTTCTTCATAAATTTTTTCCTGAATAATTGGTTCTGTTGACATGGCATAGAAAAAGAATGACATCAATACACTTGTAGTTTCATAACCAGCAACCATAAAGACAAGAGCTTGACCAACTATTTCTTTATCATTCAATGTATGTATACTCTTCGTCAGTGTTTTCTCTTGTTCTTGACAATTCATTTCTTCTTCATGATCAACCATAATTTGAATAAAATCAGTACGTCTTTCCAAATGTTGTCGACGGCGACTTAGTATTTGATTTACTAAACAACTCGTATAATCAACAGCATCAGATGGTAAAAATGAATAACCCTTTTTGCTTAAATAACTTGCCAATCGAGTAGAAATTACTGTAATAAATAATATATATCAAAGATAAAAAATATAGATTATTTTTGTCAATTCTAATAAACATACAGACGATTAGAATTGAAATAGATGTCTTTACAAAATCGACCGTAAAGAATTTTTTTAAATGATTGATCAAAATGACATTTTCGTTTTGTAATGAATTAGTTTCAACACCAAATAAACAAGTAGCAATATTATCAAGTGTATATTGACCATTGAGTCTATTGTGGTAACAAAAACAAAAATGTATTTAGATAAGTAAAAATTAGACTAACACTTTAACATCAAATATTTCTTGTTTATCTGCATATTCAAGAAGACGTTTATTATACATATCACTAACTTCATCCATAAGACTATACATCTATTAGGAAAATATTCTATACTACTACTTTGAAATAATGTTGATATTTACTGATTTGAGTTTTGCTGTGGAAAAA